TATTGCCCCAGTCGGATAATTTTAAAAACAGTACGAGACATTGGTCAAGTGACTTCGAACATTATATACTCTCATTTTAGTTTTCCATACACTCTTACCGAACTCGTTATCTTTATAAACTTTTGATGTTATATGAATGCAAACTAATCTTGAAGAGCGTTCGTGTTGTTTGTACTTATGAAAATGCTTTTCAGCACTTGAAAATCATATCTAACACAAACTCTATTTCAGTTTAGACTACTTTCATTTAACATTAAATATTTACAAGATGAACTTTTTAATTCAGAACGGGGAAATTTACATTAGATCACTAATCGATGGTGAAGGTTTTATTAGTGGTTAGTCTCCTAATTCTTAATTGCTTTGTTCAGCTTTTTCTCTTTCTATTTTATCACAATGAATAACATGCTTTTTACTTTTTAAGAGTCTTGGTTTTTATATTTAATCATCATTTTTATGTATTTCAACATTTTTAATAAATACTTGATATTGGGATACTGCAAAGATATAAGGATTTCTTGAGATGATTGTTTTACAAGCTATTAAAGAAGTAGAAATCTGCAAAGTTTTGATCTCATGTGTCTTACCTATCTCATCAAGAGCAGTACCACTGCATTTCATACCTACGAAAATGAGATGTTATGCATTTTTATCTGATGGTAAATAAAAAGGCGCAACATAAGTTATGAAGAATTTTTGTTCTCAAATATCGTAACAGAAAAAATAAATAATTCTAAGCATCTTGTCAGAAGATACAGCTTCTGGTTTACATAGAAAATCTGAGATCAAGATTTGAGTATTTGAATGAATTCACTTGAAGCTCTTTCCAATTCATTTCAACTAGTTTCCAGGTAGAAGTAGGTGTGCTCTATCCATTGCATGGATTACTTCTCCAAAACAATCGCTCTAGCATTGATAAAAATGCTAATTACTGTCCAAAAATATAGAAAAAAAACAATGAATTCGCTTACAATCCTATGAGAATTGTCCATAAGTGGTTTCCAACGAAACAAATGATGCTTTTCGATAGAAGTCGTCGTGTTCTATCGATTCCACATCTCTCTAGCTCGACTCCAACGTAGTATGAATGTAAAAGCCGCTAATTAGTCCTGTATTCATGCACAGCATAAAGAGAAAATTAGCCATCGGTTCGTTTGTTTCGGTTAATCAACAGTAGAGAACGAAAGAAGAGGCAATTATTTTGCTCTTAATATCATTGTGTAGTTGATTGTATATACGTATGTGGAAGAAAGGAAAAAATCTAATTGCTCATTTCATTCGATTAATAATAAGAAAAGCATAAAAAAGCTTTGTCCTGCAACTTGACAACGACATCGAGACATAAAGCATTTATTTGCTTTTCTGCTTTAGCCAGTAAGCCTGTGATATAGAATGATGTCGCGCATTTCCTTATAATTAAGAGCAGTGATCAAAACAATTGTTCTTAGAAATATTAAAATACATGAATTTGAAGAAAAAGGCACTTCTACTGATTGATGGTATACTTTACATTAATTTGTTTAATTCCCATGAGTTCGATTGTGGTCAAACTGCGACGCAATTGCTAAAAGAGATGCCATAGATGAGATTTTCATTTTATTAATATCTTTATTGAGAATTAAAAAAATTTGAAAGATTAAAAAAACAGGCAAATTAAAAAAACAGAAAAATAAAAAAAATTAGAGTATTAATAAAAAATTGAAAGTTAAAAAAATTAAAATTAAGAAAAATAAAAAAGTTAAAATTAGAAATAAATAAGAAAAATTAAAAAAATTAAAATCTAGAAAAAAAGCTTTGAAAAAATTAGAAAAATAAAAAACAATTGAAAAATTATTTGTAAATTATATGTTCTACCTTTTGTGGTAGAATGAGCCGAAGTGTCATGGACACCAAGGTTCCGAATGGAACTCGGAGACAAAATGTTTTCGTACACTTTGCTTAACTTAGTAAAATGTACGTGTACACTTAGCTTTCGCTAGCAAAAGGTAGCAAAGTGTAGGCGTCGAAGTTTCCTCGTATAAGCTAAAAAGAAAAAAGGTGTTCATGTATATCTTAGAGAAAAGAAAAAGAAAAATTAACCGATAGTAAAATTGATCAAAAGAGGTCGTGTTGTACATTTTATACTTCATTGATAGAAATATTAATTCATATGCAAACAGATTTTTGGATCAAAAACAAAGTGTTATTTTCGTAAACACAGTGTATTGTGTACACTTTGGTTTCGTCAGCAGTGTGTAAAACAGAGTGTAAATTCAATTTAGCAAGTGTTTCGTACACTTTGATTCTGCTTGGTACCCTTGCTATACGGAACCTTGATGGACACTGCCTTTTATACTATCTTTCTCTGGCTAAGTTTTACTGCTGGAGTGTGACCAATTACAAATAAAAAGGAGTGATTTATGATTGGTCGGTGCTAGTTACAGAGGATTGTACGATACGATTACTGCGACGCAGTTACGCTGGTCTGCGTCGCAGTAACCGTAGTTTCTGATAGAGATTTTCACTGGGATCAATGCGCCGAAGTTACGCGCAACTGCGACGCATTGATCACAGTGCACAAAACTGCGGCGCAGTTGGTAAAAAAGAGGCGACATGGGTTGAAAGGGCATATCAAAGAGTGTGAGTACCGCAATGTCACTGATCTGTAGATCTACCTCTATCATCATCAAATTCCGAAAACAGGTGTAGTTTTCTTTTGTCTTATTTATTTATACAGATAGAGTGTTGACGACATTCGTCTTTGACAATGGATCCGTGACGGGTGGCTATTTGAAGTTTGATTTATTAGTTATTCACTTTTTCAAAACTTCATTTCATATATTTGATATGTTAGAATTTACGAGATTTATGATATTGATAAATGAATATTCTGAATCAGTGACAATATTGTGATACAAAAAAATCTACCCAATAATCATAATCTGTACAAGCGATTCAAAGTTGTTTATTTCTGTTTATACTTTGTAGCCAGCCATTTCAATAATATAAAGTAATATAATGGAGAGAAAGAAGCACACGACTAATATGATGTATGTTTCATACTTGTCAAAGAATTGTCTAAATATTGGTTTTCTTTTTATGTAAAAGCTATCATAAAATCCTTCATTAAATTTCTCAACTGTAATTGATAGAATAAGATAACTATCTGTGTCATGGTTTCAATTGGTAGTATGAATTGGAGCTGGTCTCGAATATTTAATGAAAAACTAGGTGTAATAATGACTCGGTATTGTGTACATAATGAAATGGATAATTGAAAATCAATACATACAACTTGTTGTGCGAGTGTGAATGTGGATGAATATATAAGAAGAGATGATCCACATCCATACACGTACAAATTCATGAGCTATTGGCATCAACTTATCTTTCAAGTTATACTCTGGTAAATAATATTACATTGCACATAGGTCAAAGGCCTTGTCGTGACTTTATGGCCTGCCAGGCAGAACAATAAGTTGACAGCTCTGCTGCAGGAGCTATTCAAAGTTATACAGTATGATGTTACATTTAAGGTATGTTTTCTTGTCTTGAAGAGTGAAGAAATGAAATTACTTTTTTGAAATCTCTATAGTAAATTAATAAAAATCAAAGTATTTTAGAAATGATGCAACATCAAGTTCGTAATGGTCTACGAAAAACTAAACATACAGTGAGTATTACTTATATTTAAAATCCTATCTAAATTTTCGCTTAGTATATTCGTCGACAAGGTTTTCTTAACAGGATATTGTTGTTGGTAAGCATTGCGCTTGACAAATATCGTGTAATATTTTATTTCATTTCTTCAGCATAGGTAAGCAAACTGCATGATCGTTATTACGATGCGCATGTATTTATAACATATCAAAGTGATGATAGTCGTTAGTCAACACGATTATTGGAGAACGTTTGAGTAGAATACAAAATTATGAATTATGACAAGTCCTTGATGAATCGTGATTTTCAATAGAAATCGAAAAGAAGTTGGCAAAATATCGTCTTTTCTGCCGATCTCATCACGATATCATCTCGCGAATAACCAGACTAATCAATTACGATAAAATCAACGATTTTTACCACACAACTGGATCAATCACATTTTCGAACTTTTTTCTTTTGATTTCTGTATGATCTCTGTTTGAATTTTATTATGATGTCAAGAATAAAAATAATGAGTCTCGATAGATGCACTATTTGATAATTTTCTGTTTCGTAATTTTTGTTTTCAATATTTTTTCTTGAGGCTTGTCGACGGTCAAACTAAAGTTCAATAGTAACAATCATTCAACATTTATTAACACTTTGGATGATGACTAAATGCTATTCAACGTAAAATAAGGATTGATTCAAGAAGAATACTATGAAAATTTCGATTTAAATGTAAATCAATAGAAATATTTCACACTAGATTTGATCCATCAATCTAATTCGTACAAGATTCTTTGATTATTTTCTAAATTTCTAATAATTATCAATGTAGTTCTTTTACGTTATTAGAACAAAATAAAGCAACACTGTGACACATATACTGTGAAAGCGTATAAAGAAAACAAAGAAAAACAGTACGTTGCAAGATATAAATTTCGGAGAAAAAAATAAATAAATATTCTAATTTTTCTTTTCTTCATTAAGACAAGCTAAAATAAAGGCATGTCGTTGATTTCTATCAAGATGTTCGTGTAAAATTGAAAGCGCTAGAATATCAATACAAGCATTAAATATATCATCAGATTCTTCATTTGCTTTTTGAATTTGTTCTTTTGTTGGCCAACATTTTTTGTAAAAGTAAAAGAAAACGAAAAAATAAATTTCTTTCTTTTGCGTTTAATCGTTCAATTATAATACTAACAGCTTTTGTCATATCATCTTGTCTTGATAAATTTTCTTTTGTATTTACAAATACGTATTTTATCTTGCATTTTATATGATATTAATGGTTGTGGTAATGAATGTAGAAGATGTAAAAGTATTGTAAAAATTGCTGCTGTTGAATAATTTGTAAAATTATAACTATTTTCATAGATTTGATTATGTATTGGTATCAAATCAAGTGAATCTTGTATTTCATTATTACATATTTACAATAAATCAACATTATTACGTTCTCTTAAACAATCAATTAATGCAATAAAAATTATTGGTGGATCATTAATCATTTTTACAATATGTTTTGAATAAGATTTATTATCATATGGATAAATATATTTTTTTATTTTCATTATCATAATATGTACATGGATATTTTTCTAATGATAAACCAAATGGACCTTTATCTAATGTTATATCTAATGTAATAAATGTATCAGCACCATTTTTAACATGTAAAATAAGTATATCACTTATTTGTTTAATATTTATTGTATAAGGTGGATTTGGAGTAAATGTTGAACATTCAAATGATATTGATATTGATGATGGTATTATTGTAGATGTACATGTACAATTCACCAATATTTTTAATAGTTAATGAATAATTTGGTTTATCTAAATAACGTATATGATTAAATATAATTTGTGGAGGTCGTGGATGTACTTTAATTGTTGGCATTGATTCATTTTCTATACGATCAAATTCACGTATTAATTCGTCACGAATACGATTTGAACGTTTTTCATCATATTCATATTTAGTAACAACTAAATATAAACCACTAACTGGACGATGATCACTAAATTTAATATTTGTTGCACATGAATAATGTATTGTTTGAATTGTTTTTAATTCATTTTGATTATCATTAAGAACTTTTAAACGTTTTGAACGATATAATATACGATCAGCCCATGATGATGTACGTATTTGTTCACTTGTATCATAATTATCCGTATTTATATCAAATTTATATGTTGGTAGAAAATTAATAGGTGGCTCATAATAACCAGTAAAAACATGATCTAATTTCATTTCACAACGTAATTGATCTTTTTCTTGTAGAGGAACAGTTGAGAATTCATTTATTGCATTACGAACTTGTTCATTAGGTTGAGAAACTCGATAATTCATATCACCACACCAGAATATTATATCATGATCATTTATTTTCCACCTAAAAGAATTTTAAATTAAGATTGATTAAGATGCACAAGAGAAATATGTTTTAATTCATTTTGTTTTAATTCTTCATTGTTGTCCTCATTTAAGAACTTCATACCTATTGTAAATTCCTTTCGGACTCATCCACGAAAAATTACCAAAAAAAAAATATTGATAGTTTTCTTTCATTCGAACTATTCATTCATATGCAATAGGCAGTGTTTTATCGAGCATGTGAGCAATGCACCTACAAGAATCAAGTTGACTCTGTCGAAGTTTGTGATTATTGTAATATATGCTATGCTGTCAAAAATAAATCTTCGTCTTTCCGATGTCTTAAATTGCTTCTACGAAAGAGAAAATCTGAATATTCTTTTTATAACAATTAACATATTATTTTTCATGACAACAACATGAAAGTATATAATATCGAAAAAAGATTATCTGGAAATATTTTCGCAACAATGTTGAAATATAACTGAAAATAAATCATAGATTTAGTCAATTCATTGATATTTTTCAATATTTCTAAACTTATTGAGTCTTTCTTATTTTTGCTGAAACATTGCTGCATTCTAAGAACATTGTTCCAACTTAACACATTCACCACGATTCATTTTTCTTGGGGAAAGTCTTTGAAATATCCATTCCTGTCAGTAGTAAACTTCTAATAAATGCACGTAGTGACCTTTTCACTGCGTCTACGGATGATTCACCGTTCTCTTCTTCATATCATGACGTACCATGAGTCAGAGCGAAATTTCTGATTTTTTCCTACTTATTCTTGTATTTGTGATTTTACCTATAAAAGCAGCCGAACTTTCCGAATTATTTACATGTCGTTCGAAGAAACCGATGCAGAAGAGAGCGCTAGCTCACTTAGTGAACTGAGTTTTTTGGAAGATGATCTGGATAGAATGCACGTTGAATCTGGAAGCTCCAACGAAGAAATTTCTGACGACGAAATGAGTTCAAACGTCTGGAAAGAAATAGAACCGGAATTGGATGAAGAATTTATGGAAGATCATGGACTTGTCGAAGAAGTAATTTCTGCTTCGGAGGATCATATGGTCAATCCTAGTCGATTGTTATCGACATTTCATCACAGACGAAATTATCGATCTTATGGTTCGCGAAACTAATCGATATGCAGAACAATACTTGGAAGCCCATGAGATTAGCAGACGGTCCAAATATCATCAATGGAACCCAACCACTCATGAAGAAATGCTCAAGTTCTTTGGGATTATTATCGAGATGGCGTTAGTACAAATGCCGCAGCTGAACCACTACTGGAGCAGCAGTCAGTTGTATGGGTTGGAGATTATTCGAAGCGCTATGCCGAGAGAGAGGTTTGAATTACTCCTCAAGTTTTGGCATCGTTCGAACAACAATAACAGGAATTCGAAACAAGACAGGCTTTTCAAGTTGAAACCACTCTCAGATTTACTGAAAGAGAGGTTTTCATCAGTATATATGCCTGGCTCAGTTATTAGTATTGACGAAAGTATGATACCATGACGAGGCAGACTTTTATTCAGGCAGTATATACCGGGTAAAGCGCACAAGTACGGTATAAAGATGTACAAATTAGCAGCTACCAATGGATACACTTGGAATTACGTAATTTGTACTGGTGAGCAAGAATCGTTGGCAGGTGTTGGACATGCTCAAGCAATAGTAATGAAACTATTAGATGGTCTTGATGGATGTTATCGAACCGTCGTAGCTGACAATTTCTTTACCAGTATCTCTCTTGCAAAATATTTGTTGGAACATTATACGTATCTCATTGGAACATTACGAAGCAATCGTGTTGGATCAGGAACTAAAGTTCTTGAAGACAATCTTAGTCGTGGGGAAGTTTATGGACTTCAGAGTCAAGATGGAATTAAATTAATCAGGTGGAAAGACAAAAACGATGTCTTGATGATATCTACAAGACTGTCACATTCAGCAAGTGTAGTAGACAGTGGAAAAACAATTTTTCAAAATGAGCGAATCATGAAGTCCCAAGTTGTATTAGATTACAATGAAGGAAGACAAGGTACTGATTTA